TTTTTCTCAAAAAAAAAAAAAAAGTTTTATAAGGTGGAAGAGACAGGTCTACCCTTCCCAGGGGTTTGGGAGACTTGGCTGAGGTACCACAGGGTAGCAAGGTGGGCACCGCTGGTTAACCCATGGGCCAGAGGGTCCACAGAGGGTCTCCTGAGTATAGCACCAGGCCAGCACAGGGAAGGTGCCTGGAGGGACAGCTTGATGCTGGAAGTCATGACACCTGGACACTGGGTCACTGTCATCTGTTCCTGGGTAGAGACCTCTCTAGTGAGCAGATGGAGCCTCAGAAGTAACCAGTGCCTAACTGAGTGAGGGTGAGCAGGTCTGGACCTAGGCTCCCCTGTTCCCCAGAGGCCTACAGGGGTGAGGTGGGGCTGAAGCCAGCAAGGTGCACTGACAGGATATGAGTCTGCAGCTCTCCAGGGTGGACCACCATGGGCGAGAAGTTCTGGAACTGCACGGAGGTCTTGTTACCATAGAAGAGATACATGCGGCCTGCAGGGGTGAGGAGGGCTCCATTTAAGCTCTGGCCACCAGCCCGGCCAAGAACCCCTGCCAACCCTTCCCAAGGCCACCAGACACACCCAGGTTCTGCCGGAACTCAGACTTGACTCCGATCTGCAGCAGCTGGTTCTCGAACAGAACCCCACTGTTCTTGCACACAAACCTGGGCAGGGTAGGAGTCAGGACAGTGGGTCACGATGGCAGCTACACATCTGCACTGTGCCGGGCTCCCTACGCCCCTCCCCACTTCTCCCAGGACTCACTTATTCAGCAGTTCATCTGCTTCTGGGATGGGAGGGCCTATATCCTCAGGACCTGGGCTGGGGGAGAGGGAGGGGTGAAATGCCTAGGCACTTGGGGCCGCGGTAATGGGTGCAGGCAGGCACACTCTTAAGGGACAGAATCCAGAACTCACAGACCCAGCTTTCCCAGAGAACAGCAGATATAGGAGCAGGACCCTCCAGAGGACCCTGACTTGCACTGTCCTCTAACATATGGAACCCTGAAGCCCACCCTGGGGACATCCTCAGCCCTCCAACCCAAGGCCACCCCTTACTCAGCTGCTGGAGCTGGATCAGCCAGCAAAGCCATGGGGCTCTCAGGGGCAGGGGGCTCCAGCTCGCTGGGCCATCCAATCCCAGAGCAGATAGAGAAGACAGGCGTGGCAGGCAGCCAATTCCATAGAGGCAGCAAGAGAGCCAAGGAGAGACCAGAGAGGGCGAAGGAGAGAAGAGCGGGCTGAGATCCGGCTACAAAGGATGGACCTGGGGCAGGGGCAGCAGAGTCCAGAGCAGCCAGAGGGAGGCAGCAGGCAGGGCTGGCAGAGGATGGGGCAGGAGGGCCCTGGGGCCTCCAACACAGGGCAGGCGGGTACCTGAGAAAGGCCTCCTCGGGGGTGGGCCCCAGGCTGGGCTGTGCAGCAGGGCCATCGGAGAAGACGTCCACCAGGAGGTTCCTGGTGCTCGCAGGAGCCGGGGATGCGGCAGGAGGAGGGGCTGCCCGCAGCCCCAGGAGGTCGGCGGAGGGCGAGGGCGTCGACTGCAGCAAGGGGAGATGGTGGGGTGAGCCGAGGTGGAGGCTGAGAGACCCTGGGCAGGTACAGGCAGGTGCAGGGCTCACCACGGTGCTGGGGGTGGGCTCCACACCCCCGTTGATGTCGTTGCTGCTGACGTCCCTGCGGCCGTCGTCCAGGGCGCTGGCAGCCCCGGGGCCTTTCTTGCGCTTCAGCTTGGCCAGGATAGAGGACTCCCGCTCGGGGAACGGGGGCATCTCCTCCAGCACGGTGGCCTGAGGGCAGGCGGGCAGGAGTCAGGGGTACTCCGGGTCCCAGGGTAGGTTCTCCCAGGGATTAGGGCTGGGCTCTCACCAAGACGTCGGTGCTGGCCACAGAGCTGAGGGTGAGGTACTCCACCGCCCGCTGCTGCAGCTCCACGTCCGCGTTGCGCAGCTGGGAGCCAGCTCGTAGCACGCCCTGGATGGTGGCCTTGGTTTCAGGGAAGAGGTTGATGAACTTGATGTAGGTGGAGAGCAGCAGGGCGCGTGTGGCCACACTGCACAGGTGGAACTTGGAGTGCAGCAGAGAGAACTGCACAGGAGGGCTGTGGAAGGAGGCGGAGGGTCAGAAGACATGTCAGCAGAGAGGGCACCACCTCCATGGAGCCTTCCTGGGCCACACTCCCAAGGGCACCGTCTGTGGGACCGGGGTTATCACCCACATGGGGAGTTGGGGCAGATCCCTTAAGCCCCTAAGAGCTGTGCTTGACACCCTCAGAATGAGGCTCTCACCTGGAGCGTGGGTCCCCAGCAATCAGGTTCCCAAACTCCCCAAGGATGTAGCCACCGACCTTCACCATGTTCTCATGACAGGCTGGGGCCTGGAGAGCCTGGGAGCGAGGGGAAGGGTGAGAACAAGGGTGGGAAGCTGGGACCCTGCATTGTGCCCACTCAGCCCAGGGCAGGCACTGCTGAAACCCTCTGATTCTGCAGTGCACATGGGGCCACTTGTGGGAAGACCGAGGCATGGAGGGGGATGTGAGGAGCCCACACTGTCCGTGTGACTGAGTGTGACTGAGAAGTCCTCTACAGGTGTAGTCTGGACACTGTTCAGGAAGGCCCTGTAAATGCTGGGAGGTGGGGGTCTAGCTGGACAAAGTAGGGCACTTGGGAGTCCCAGAGGGTGTGAGCCTTGAGCACTACCTGGTCTGCCATGACATAAACAGCCGCCACACCAGGTTCTGTGGATGTGTGAGTGTGCCGGTGCGTGCCTGTGTGTGCACATGAAGGTCAGAAGAGGTCGTGTGTCTCTTCATCCGTTCTCCACCTTATTTGTTGAGACTGTCTGTTGCTGAACCTGGAGCTTCCATTTGGGCTAGACTGTCTGGCCAGTGCTCTCCCAGGATTGCCCTGGCTCTGCACCCAGTACTAGGGTTATGGACACAGTCACACCCAGCTTTTACCTGGGTGCTGGCAAACACTTTACCGGAGCTGTCTCCCAACCCTGCCACACTCTAGCTGCCCTCCCTGTCAAGATGACCAGAAGCCCTCGGAACCTATGAGCCAAAGTCAACCTTTCCTCCCTAAAGTTGTTTCTGTTGGATGTTTGCTCACAGTAATGCAAATGCACAGGGCATTCTTCTGGGCAGGAAGGGGAAAGCCCCCAAATCCAGACATGGACCAGCACACATGGGGGCAAAGCCTATACTTTGTGCCTTCCTCACATCAGGAATGCCCCAGGGCCTCGACCTAGAGCTGTCAAGGCATGGTGCTGAAGCAGGCTGCTGGCCTGCACTGACAGGGCACCCTGCCCAGCTGCCCT